GGGAGAGAGGAGAGAGGGAGAAAGGGAGGGGTGAGGGAGAGAAGAGAACAAGAGAGCAGTGGCATTTCTCCTAAGCTTATGGCCCCTCCCGTTATATAAATGAGCATTGTCAGCACCACCTGAGGTCCCAGGTCACCAGATGGAGTAGCAGTCCAAGAGGTCAGAGATCCAAGCAGAGAGGGTTCCTGTGGAGACAGGGCTGGCTGCCTGAAGTGGTGTCGTGCTTACCTGGCCCTTCCCTCAACCTTCTCTTCTACCTCACATCCCAGCAAGCACAAAGGTCACAGCAAGCTCCCCATTCTCAAGGGGTTCTTGGCTTGGGACACCAGAACCACTTGAAGCAAACCATACTTCATACCTGGAACACCCTCACGCCCCACCCAAACAGTTCTGAGTTTCTTTATTCCCTCCAAAATGTCCCCAGGTGTCATCTGTGCTCTGGGGTCTGCCCTGGAAGAGACAACCCCATGGTAGAATCCATATGGGTGAGGGGGTCTCCCTGTCTGTGCATGATTGCTCAAAGGTGAGTGTGCAGGTAAGTGTGTGCACATGTGAATGCCAGATGTCAATTCCAGGGATCTCCGGTTGAGCCCTGGAATCCACAGCCCGGAGTTAGAGGTGAGCGCAGACACACTGGGGTTTTCAGATGCCTGCTGGGCATCTGAATGAGATGCTCAAGTTCACACAGTAGGCTCATCTCACAATTAGCACCTCCCCCAGCCCAGGAGAGGGTAGCCCTTTCCACAGATTCCTCATCAGGCCCCCAGGGAGACACCTGCTACTCTAGCTAATTTTCTGTCTCTAAAGTCTCCTGTCCTTCACAAACACAGCACCTAGCAGAAGCCTCACAGTCAAGCTTAAGCCAGCCAAATGCATTAAGGGTAGAGACAGGGGAGTTAGAAAAATACAGAAAGTTGGGGGTCAGGGAGATGGCTGAGCCAGTAATGATACCTGCTTACCTGCCTGCCTGCCTGCCTGCCTGCCTGTCTGTCTGCACTGCCTGCCTGCCTGCCTGCCTGCCTGTCTGCACTCCCTGCCTGCCTGCACTGCCTGCACTGCCTGCACTGCCTGCACAGCCTGCCTGCCTCTCTGCACTGCCTGCCTGTCTGCCTGCCTGTCTGCACTGCCTGTCTGCACTGCCTGTCTGCACTGCCTGCCTGCCTGACTGCCTGCACTGCCTGCCTGTCTGCCTGTCTGTCTGCACTGCCTGCCTGCCAAGCCAGAAGAGGGTGTTAGATAACCCTTGGAGCTGGAGTTAGATGTGGGTGCATGCTATCAGGTGTGAGTTATGGGGTCTGATCACCCTGGTCTCTAGAAGAGCAGTGGGCACTCTTAACCACGGAGCTACCTTTCAGTTCCCAGATGAAACTCTTTTAAGTTAAGTTTTGAAATAGAAACACTCACTCCAGTAAAAGAGTTGGGTACGCGGTCGGGTGTGAAGGTTGAACACTTTGGGTGCAGGCATACAGAAGGGATCTGATGCAGCTGCTATTCTCTCTATGTAAAATCAGGACCTCTGAGACTCCTCCTCCCAACCACTAGACAGCCAGGTTACAAAGACCATGCTCAGTGTGGGCCTCCCCCATGGCTGGGGAGGGGTGGTAATAGCATAGCTCCTCCCATGTCTGAATGCACAGGCACAGAAGAGACACTGCTGCTGAGCGAGTGAAGACCAAGCGCCCTCGGATGGAGATTCACCAGGGGATGAGAAAGGATGCCATGCAGGGGTGGTACCTACACACTCAGCCACTAAGCACCAAAGACTATGGCAATGGAATTAAAGCCAGTGGGAACTGAGGTTCAACTCAGAGTGGATGGCTCAGGATCCAGACTCTTCAGGAGTTAAAGTTGTTTCCCCATAAGTAAAGACCTCAGCGCAGGAATGCAGAGCAGCAGAGGGGTGGGGGGGGGGTGGGGGATAGAGGCAGCTGTGTCTGTTAGCCAGGACCAAATAGCCAGGCTCAAAACCAATCAGCTGTGTAGTAGACTCCATGAGGAGGCATGCGTCTATGTAGACACCAAGCAACGGCTCTGCTTTCTTCCCTTGTTTATCCGCTCACCAGACAGACCAACTTCCCCTTTGTGTGAGAGCACCGTTAACTCCATGTGGCTTGTGGGATAGAGAGGAGGAGAGAACTGTAACCTTTCCCCCAGGCCTTTGCACCCTCATGGAAAACCAGTTACTGCGTTCTCAGATGTACAAGGGGCTTGGACATGAGAAGAGAGACACTCAAGGCAGGTGCAGCAGCTGACACCCACCTGAAGAAGCAGAGGACTGACTGTAAGCTGCACGGGGTAGCGGAGAAAGGCTGTACCAAGGTTGCCCTTCCTATGACTGTGTGTGTGTTTGTGTGTGTGCATGTGTATATGTGTGTGTTTGTGTGTCTGTGTCTATGTGTGTCTATGTGCATGTTTGTGTGTCTGTGTATGTGTGTGTATGTGTGTATATGTGTGTTTGTGTGTCTGTGTGTGTATGTGTCTGTGCGTGAATATGTCTGTGTGTGTATGTGTGTATATGTGTTTATGTATGTATTTGTGTGTATATATGTGTGTGTTTTTGTGTCTGTGTGTGTTTATGTGTATATATGTGTATCTGTGTGTCTGTGTGTGTGTCTCTGTGTGTCTCTGTGTGTATTTGTGTATATGTGTGTCTGTGTGTGTATGTGTCTGTGTGTGTATGTCTGTGTGTTTGTGTGTATATATGTTCATGTCTGTGTTTGTGTGTACTGTGTATGTATTTGTGTGTCTGTATATTTGTGTAAATGTCTGTCTGTGCGTGTATGTGTGTGTATATATGTGTGTATGTGTGTGTATATGTGTGTATATATGTGTGTGTGTCTGTGTATATATGTGTGTCTGTGTGTATGTGTGTGTACATGTGTGTATGTGTGTTTATATGTGTGTGTCTAGGTGTATATGTGTGTCTCTGTGTGTGTTTGCGTGTGTATTGTGTATATGTATGTCTCTCTGTGTATGTGTGTGTATATGTGTGTATGTGTGTGTGTGTTTGTGTATGTATATGTGCCTGTGTATGTCTGTGTTTGTGTGTGTATTGTGTATATGTGTATATGTGTGTCTGTGTGTTTGTGTGTCTGTGTGTTTGTGTGTATGTGTGTATATGTGTGTGTGTTTATGTGTGGGTATGTATGTGTATGCATGTTTGTGTGTATGTATATATGTGTGTGTATACATATATATTGTGTGTTTGTGTATATGTGTGTGCGTACAGAGAGCTGTAACCGACAACCACAGTCACGGATGATTCATGGAGCAGTCAGTCATCCTATACACTTCCACAATGAAAATGCCTATAAACCCAGGGAAAACTGAAGGCTCACCAGGAGAGAGGATGGTAATGGAGACAGACAACAGAGGACACTGAGGCTTGGGTGTGAGCCATGAGCAGGTCAGTGCTGAGTTCTTTGGTGGGTGTCGACTGTGGTGTACCTCCTCCGTGAGTTCCCTGGCACTGTACCGTGTGTGGACTCTCAGAAAGGAGCACTGCTCTTAGACACACAGACTCATTCACACAGTGTCTGAGGGCCATGGTGCATCTGATTCACCAAAGGACACACACACACGATAACAACAAGACCACAAGAGATCATGAAGAGAAGGGGACAACAGAGCTCACGGGACTCCTAGGATGAGGCTCCTTAACCTGCACTCGGGGCTAAGGACACTTAAAATGACAAGAAATACAAAACTATGTTTTAAAAAAGACAATGTAGAGCCAAGTGGTGCCCACCTACAATCCAGCACCCAAGAGGCTGAGGTGGAAGGACTGTTAAAATGCTGGACCAGCCTGGGCAACATAGTAGATTCCAGGCTAGCCTGGGCTACAGTGTAAGACTATATCTGAAATAAAACAAACTCCAACACAAAAGGAAACAGAGGTAAAATAAAAAGTAATTAAAGGTTATATAATACAGGAGAAGCTATTTTATTATGCTGTAGAAATAATCAAACCCTCGCCTTTAACAATTAAAAATAATTTTATGTGGCCATAATAGGAATAAGTGATATCGTGGCGGGTTTCTAATGCACGTTGCTTTTATAATTAGCAATTACCTAACCACTTGAGATTGTTGAGCTTGGCATTAAAGAAACAACAAACTTTGAGTACATTATATCCTTGAGCTAACACACGGGAAAAAAAAAAGGTAAATGCTAGTACAATTTACCAAGAGTGCATTTTAGATCCACTGCCATTAACCTGATGTCGAGAGGGTGGGAAGGAGCTGCCATACAACCAGGCAAGACCACCTGATCCAACAGTTCTCTAAAACACCGTTGGATGGTTGTTTCCACCCTCCATGTCAGAGTCTTCAGGAACAACCGGCGAGCCTGCCCCCCTCACACTCTGCCCTGCCATCTTGTCAAGTGGCTCAAAACAAATCTCTTTATGCCAGAATCATGAGCAGATCACGTGAATTACCCTGAAACACTGCACGTCT